CCCCCCCCCCCAATGACTATGGGGTTATGGGGTATATGTGACTTTTGACTGGATGTGGTGCTTGGAGGGGACATTGATGTCATGCAAGGAGCTGATGGGAATTTTCTTTCGGCCTCTGGGAAAGAAAGAGGAAGTTGTATTCAAGGAGAAAAGAGGAAGTGGCCTTATGAGTAAGTATCCTTGATTTCATATTCTTCCACCTTGAACTACAACCATGAGGTCCTGTAATTGTTTGAAGGGCAAAGCTCTTTCAAGTACATCCTTTGGTTTGAATGAAGAAATCAAAACAAAGAATTTTTGCTATCTGTCTTCCTCCATGGCTGTTGGTAAACCATTCATAAGAAATATTTTGAGTCAATTCCTTAATGCATTTTCAATACCATAACCAAAATTACAGATCACTTCAGTTTCAGAAAAAGAAGCAGCACTTAAAGGCAGGGATAAAAGCCTTCAATGCAAATATCCATGGCATGGTGAGATCAACAATGTGTGATACAAACTACTGGATTTCTCTGACTTCAGGAAAGAGAAAAGTTTATACTGATATTGATATACTGGAATGAATCTCCCTGTCTACTATGTCTGATATTAGGTTTTTGTCCTGTAAAGTCCAAGAATGAATTTTAGGAACAACAGAAATTAAGAGAAGAATATACTTATTGAGAGAAAAAATGTTGCCTGAGAGAGAGAAGGTATCCTGAGCAGGTTGCCAAACACTGTGCATTCTAGGGACCTTTATAGAGTAAAATCATGTGGTGAAGTGAGTTTAAGGTGGGGGAAACTAAGAACTCACAATGCAGATGGGCATAAGATGGGACAGAGTTATGGTAGCCAATAAGATTATAAGTTCAGGTAAAGTTGATTAAATTGGGAACAAAGGGGGAAGGGAGTCACATAGAAAGCAGGCATTCTTAGGCAGCTGTATCTCTTCCCTTAGAGGTTTGGGAGGGTGACTCCTGAGTTCCTCAGGATGATAGGAACTATTTAGAATGTCAGTCTTTAGGATAAGGATACATTTCTTTAAATGGTGACTCCTGACTTCCTCAGAGTGCTAGGGAACTATTTAGAATATCAATCCTTAGGATATGGATGAATTTGCTTATCATTTGTCTTGAGCCTTGGCCCATAGCATGAGGTGTCAGTCTTCCCCATAGTTGCAAGGTATCTGGTCTCCTGCATGGGCTCCTTGGGGGACCTAGCCATGTCTCATGCCAATAGTATTTAAATAACTCACGTCCCTGTAACAGTACTGTTTGGAAAATTGAGTACAGATGTCTTGTGCTCTGGGTGAATGATCTGGGGATGACAATGTGCAATGTATATACCATTGTTGCCCCCTGATTGATATGTTTTGAAATTTAATTTTAGTTGATGTGTTCTTTTTTCCTTGAAATAAAATGGATTTAAAAGTTAAAAGTCTGAGGTAAAGCTCTTCAATACAAACACTCCTTTGTCGAGCTGAGTTCACCACTGTAGAAGAATGGCAGCTCCAGAAGTCTCTGCACTACAGTCTATCTTTTGGGATCCTCTCTTGCAGGGAGTGGTTCCTTTCTCTGTTTATTCTTGACTCAGAAGGAGGTCAATAGAGCAGGAGTCAATCAGTGATGAAGGGGCAGGCTATATGAACTGTCCAATGAGGTGGGCCATTGCTGGCTGTGACTTCTGTCTGTTCTGGTGTCTCAGCATGATTTACCTGTTCTGAGTACAACACTGGTAGCAAAATGCTTGCTGGATCTCATTTAATACTTTTGATGTCCTGTGGCCTGATTAGCAAAGAACCTGAGAGATCCTGGATCCATGGAATAGTGAGGTTGTGGATAGTAGCCCAGAAATAAGATGGATTGGGAGGAACCAGTTCCAAGTGTTTAGGAGTAGTTCCGGTGTTTGTAGCCTCAGGTATTTAGTTATCTTCAGCTCTTGAGGTCCTCCAGCTTTGGCCATGGGTCATTCACTATCCCTTTTGCCTCTTGCCGTTGGCAAGGGTAATTTGGGGTCACCAGAACCCTGGCTTCACTATGATAGCAGCAGACACAAGTATCATCTTTGAAATTCACTGCTAGCCTGGTAAGTTCACCATCTTAGGCACTGGGAGGGGCTTGGGAAGACCCTGACTATGATGCTTTTGTAGCTTGTAGAGCAGTAATGAGCTAGGTCTATGCTCTCTTTCCTCAGAGCAGCTGATCTGGAATGTCCAGAGTTTATTAATGTATGTAATGCAGGGCCTCATAGCCACAATGGCTCAACTTAAACTTGGGCTTTTTTGTATTTATAGTGATCTCCTAAATTTATAGTATGTTCTCCTATTTCTATCCTCATGACAGGTAGTGACAAAGGTCCTGAGAATTCAGAGATATGTAGTAGTGTGCCTCAGTGGAGAAAGGCTTCCCAAACAATTGGTGAACTCCTGTGTATTCTTGAACATTGCAAAATAATTTCTGAACATACTTAGTTATTTAGGTGTCACCCATACTCACAGACTAGGTTTGTGAAAACAGCCATAGAGTTTTGAAGTCTGAGAAAAATGAAGCAAATATGAAAGTGTTATCAAGGAGAGGGTAAAAATTTGTGAAGGAGAAATTCCAGAAAGGGCTACCTGTTAAATTCTCATCGGAAAATGCCAAAATTTAGGCATTTGCATGGACATATACATGTGATATCCTTCTGAATGGAAAGGAATAGAGGTGTCATCTCTGAATTAAGAGCTGGTTTAGTAGCTTCGTTGTTAATAGACAATTTAAATATGGAAATTCTGTACAATGGACTTATCTAAGTAGTGTGAATGAGAAGCCCTAAATAGAAATTTTGCAGTGATATTGTAGTTAGGCATGAAGGGTTTCCTGCTTAGGATGGATCAGAGGAGTGTGGAAAAGATGTGGAAGTGGCTGACAGGATACAGGCAGCAAATAGCAGGACATACAACAGAGAGCGTCTTCACTGAAAGTCAGGTAGTTTTTAGAGTAAGTATGAAGTAAAGTTGGGTTCTGATTGCTTCATTGAGGTGATCAACACCAGCTCTGGCAACAATCAGTATTCCACATCCCTGTCAACACATGATTTTTGTATTCCATACTTGAGATCTAATTTGATTATCTCTAATTATGCCCCAGTGTCATGAAGGTGAAATTTTCAATTTTTTTGTACCAAGGATCAAATGCATGACCTATGCTTTCCAGGCAGTCCTTCATGCCACTGAGCTCAATACCCAACTAGGAAAGTGTTTTCTGTGTAGTATGGAAGAGATCCACATAGTTTCTCAGAAAGTGTTGAATATTGTTGGAATTTTTCTGTATTGTATGGCTATAATTTTTTAAAAACAAACCAAAGGTGTCTTATGCAGTCTCTTTTTACGTTTTACTTTGTCTGTTCGGTGTCTCAATCAGGGTTTGTCTATTTTAGACAGCTCTGTAACTTAGGATAGCCCCAAATTCAAGGAAGAAATCCTTTACCAGCATCCCAAGATATATTTCTTATATTTGAATTGAAAGTGATCACTTGGTGACAGTGTGGTATAATTTACAGCTTGGGCCTGGTTTCATTTTATATACATATTTTTAAAATACAGCTGTTTTTCCGTAACACTTGAGTTATTATTTATATACCATATTTGATGTTATTTATGTTTTGTTCTATGAATCCAAATTAATGTTTCAAAATGCTGCTTAAGTATATTAAGAACAAAGTACTCATTGGCCTAAATGAGATTTGAAGAGACATCATCTGTAGTCTATCAAAGTGATTGATTAGATTTTTAATTTAATTTTGAAATTGGTAAAATACAACAGAACAAGGCAGCATAAGGTCAACTAAGGTCATACAGTGAAGTTGGTACACAACTTCACAACGGGTTACTGGGATAACAGTAGTAGGTATCACAGTATATTTTGTTATCTTTGTAATAGTTGTTCCTTAATCACATATATCAAAATGAGATGAAATACAGAACATTATAGAACTTATCAAAACAAAATATTGAATAGAGCAATACTATTAATCAGAATAGAGTGAAACAATAATAAAACCATTTTCCTTCAAAGAGATAGTAGAAGGAAGTCCCCCTTATTTGCTATGGTTTATTTCCCAGGAGGCACTTAGATTTCTGGTTCCAATTTGCTAATGGGGGGTGACAGAAGAAGAGGGGTAGGGAAGTGGGATGTTTGATTCTAGGTGGTGCATCAGTAGGTTCACTATTGCTTAGTAGGGAGACAGGCTGGTTGTTTTGTTTCACAGCATCCTAAGTTCCAACATAGCATGGATCTCAGGAGCTGCTGTTGGTTCTCCCCCTGGAAGGGCTGCAGTCTGACAGACTGCCACTGCTTACCAGGGAGAAGTGGTGCTTGACTGGCTCCCCAGTGTCCTAAATTCCAGCATGGGATGGATCTCAGGAGCTTCTGCTTGTTTTCCCCTTGGAAGGGCTTCAATTTGCCAAACCACCACCGCTGACCTGGGAGGGAAGGTGCTTGCTTGGCATTCCAGTCAATTGGTGGGATATTTATCTGCCTCTGTGCTTTGTGGTTGCTGGTCCTGTAGGCTTGTTACTGTGCGCTCTGCTTTAGAGACAGTGCACGAGGAATCTTGCCATGATTCAGCACAAGAATCAGTGTTCCTATTTGGCTGTTACATTTACAGAGAGTTGCAATCTAGCATCAAATTTGCTGTCTTCAAAAATGTGTATATACACAAAATTACTGACCAAGACATGGATTAAAATTTGAAGAAATCAGTCTTCATTCAGCTGTTTTGTTTGGTTTTAGTTGTTTAGTTTAGTTTTGTTTTATTGAGACAAGCTTTCTGTATGTATATCAGATGGATTTGAACACCCTATGGAGCCTAGAATTGCCCTGACCTCATTGATGCCATCTTGTCTCAGCCTTTTGAGTGCTGGGATTATAGATATGCACCACCACACTTTGCTTTTGATTCAGATTTCTAGGAGAGAATTTAAGATATCCCAAACCTGGGGTCTCAACCTTCCATTGAGAAATATATTTATGATCCTATAGGAGTTGGTGACCTTTGAGGATGTGGCTGTGAACTTCAGCAATGAGGAGTGGACTTTGCTGAGTCCATCCCAAAAGAAGCTCTACAGAGATGTGATGGGTGAAACCTTTAGGAACATGACTATGATAGGTAAGGATGCAATCTTTTTGTCACTCATGCTGTCAGAATATTGTTTGTTGCTCATTAGTGCTGTTTCATGAAAAAGAATATGAAAACATTTTAAAAAATATCTCACACCTGGACAGATTATATCATAAATCTAAACAAAACCTATTAATTTGTATGTATTACTTTAAGAGTCCTGGTATTTCTATGTCTACAATTCAGGTGGACTCGGGGATATCCAGGAAGCTGAAAAAGAAGGCAAAATTTACTGGAGTTACTTAAGGTAATTCATACACACAAGTATAGGAATGAGTAATTAGTGAGTCAGCAGAAAAATGACCGCCAAAGAAATGAGGCACCATTCAATTTAGTGTCAGTAATATTCTCCGAAGATGTATAAGCTGGTGTATATATGAGGGAATTAAATCATGAAAATGTATGACATTGCATATAGATGAGTATGAAAAGAATACATTTTGAGTTATTACATTCTGCCTTCAGTTTTTCTACCCATGACTACATGTGAATATAACACATTCATTATCTAACAATTGCTAAGTTTGCAATAGAATTTGAAATAAAACTGAGTGCTCATGTTTCCCAGCCATTCTCTAGAGAATCAGCCATTCTGATTAATATTCTTAGTAGGCTAGTGGAATGTTAGTGCACTCATTTTGAAAATCAATATGCAGTTGTCTCTAGAAATTGATCCCCTCGTACTTGTCCTGGATATTTTTAAAATCTCAAATCTGCATAAAATACTGATACATACTTACTCATATACAAAGCAGATCAAGTTATAACAGATCAGGCCTTGAGGCTTAGCTATCTATCACTGGATTTGTGGAGAAGGAAAATGTTAATAGACTCTCTGTGATTATGCATTTCTGTAAACCCAACACACTAGGAATAGGATTTTGCAGAATGGCAAATTCAAGTTCAAACTTCACAGCTTAATGATCAGTGAGAATCTCTTAAAATAGATTTTTAAAAACTACAGATTTTATGCTAATACGTGTTGTTAATTCCCAGCCCAGAAAAGAAAAAATGTGTTATATAATGTCAAAAAATAAATAATATAATGTCATTTGCCATAAGAAATAGATGGGTCTTTTACCCATCAATTCAGTGAAATAGCTCAGCTATAAAACCTAAAAGGTCACAGGGTTTCTTTTAGATGAGACACCAAAATATAAATTGTGGAATGAAATGAAAGACAGTTTATAGATAAAAGTAAGACTGAACATATGGAAAAGGGAACTACAGGTTAAGGACAGAAGGGAGATTGGAATGGGGAAACATATCAGAATAATCCATATGTGATACACATATGTGCCCATGCCCAAAGTGAAGCTAAAGATTCTGCATTTCAAAGTACCAACTTTTAAGATTTCTAAATGTGTGCCAGTCTTTTGGGAATGGTTGTTTACAACATATCTTACACGGCCATTCTGTTGCTTCATAGTCAGACTTTCTTAGCAGGCATTAAAAACAGAACTTGACATTAATGCAGTCATTAAACAGAGACCCATTTCACTGTGAATTTTTCTTTTTTAAATTTATATAAGGAAAGTTTAAACAAAACAAAATAAGTAGAAATAATGCTACTTTCAAAGTGAAAATAAACAGTGAGAAATCGCAAGATGATGATTACATATGCTGCTCATGGAAATAGTTATGAAATACAAAAGTGAAACATATGAAGTGGGGATTCAAACAGCGAGATTGCAAAAACTTAGTAATATGGTTATAAATATTATATGTGATTTGTTTCTTTACAGAAAGCTAGGGAAATCCTATGGACATACATCTTGGAATCAGTGTAAAGAAGTCTTCCTTGGTACTGAAGAAGGTAATGTGAATGTGAAAGAAACAGAAACACATGACAATGTTCAGATTCATGAAAAATATTGCAGTGGAGGGAAGCCCTATGTATGCAAGCAATGCGGGAAAGGTTTTACCACACATGGAATTTGTAAGAAATATGAAAGAATTCACAGAGGAAAGAGACCCTACATATGTGATCAGTGTGGGAAAGCTTTTACAGCACGTACATATTGTCAAGTACATGAAAGACTTCACTCTGGAGAAAAACATTATGAATGTAAGCACTGTGAGAAAGCTTTCAGCACATGTACTTATTGTGTAATCCATGAAAAAATTCACACTGGGCAAAAATCGCATATATGTAAGAAATGTGGGAAAGCTTTTAGCAGGAAAATTCATTTTCAAATACATGAAAATGTTCACACTGGAGAGAAACCCTATGTGTGTAAGCAATGTGGAAAAGGTTTCACCCAAGTTGGACATTGTAAGGAACATGAAAGAATTCACACTGGAGAGAAACCTTATGTATGTAAGCAATGTGGGAAAGCTTTTAAAACACAGGGAGATTGTAAGATACATGAAAGAATTCACACTGGAGAGAAACCATATGTATGTAAGCAATGTGGGAAAGCTTTTAAAACACAGGGAGATTGTAAGAAACATGAAAGAATTCACACTGGAGAGAAACCATATGTATGTAAGCAATGTGGGAAAGCTTTTAACAGACGGGAAGGTTGTAAGAGACATGAAAGAATTCACACTGGAGAGAAACCATATGTATGTAAGCAATGTGGGAAAGCTTTTACCACTCATGCAAATTGTAACGAGCACGAAAGAATTCACACAGGAGAGAAACGATATGTGTGTAAGCAATGTGGGAAAGCTTTTAAAACACGTGCATATTTTAAGGTTCATGAAAGAATTCACACTGGAAAGAAACCATATGTATGTAAGCAATGTGGGAAAGCTTTTAAATCACAGGGATATTGTAAGAAACATGAAAGAATTCACACTGGAGAGAAACCATATGTATGTAAGCAATGTGGGAAAGCTTTTAACAGACGGGAAGGTTGTAAGAGACATGAAAGAATTCACACTGGAGAGAAACCATATGTATGTAAGCAATGTGGGAAAGCTTTTACCACTCATGCAAATTGTAACGAACACGAAAGAATTCACACAGGAGAGAAACCATATGTGTGTAAGCAATGTGGGAAAGCTTTTAAAACACGTGCATATTTTAAGGTTCATGAAAGAATTCACACTGGAGAGAAACCCTATGTATGTAAGCAATGTGGGAAAGCTTTTAGCACATGGGGAGATTGTAAGAAACATGAAAGAATTCACACTGGAGACAAACTCTTATGTATGTAAATAATGTGGGAAAGCTTTTAAAATGTAGTGAGATTGTAAGAAACATGAAAGAATTCACAATGGAGAGAAACCCTATGTATATAAGCAATATGGGAAAGGTTTTACCAACTCTGGACATTGTAAGCAACATGAAAGAATTCACACTGGAGAGAAACCATATGTATGTAAGCAATGTGGGAAAGTTTTTACCCAACATGGACATTGTAAGCAACATGAAAGTTCACACTCAAGATAAAACCAGTGTATATAAGAATCATGAGAATGGTTTGAGCACACGTATATATTGCATAATGTAAGAAAATCTTCACACTGGGCAGAAAACTTATATATGTAAGGAATGTGGGGTAGGTTTCAGCAGAAATGCTCATCGTGCAATACATTATAAAATTTAGACTGTTGAGAAACCATGTGTACATGAAGAATGTGGGAAAGCTTTCACCAAACATGGATATTGTAAAATACATCCATGACTTCACATTGGTGAGAAACCCTATTTATATAACAATGTGGCAAAGCTTTTACCACATACAGTCACTGTAAAACACATGAAAGAATTCACACTGGGAAAAACCACTGGCTATGTAAGCAAGTGGAGACACTTTCAGCAGCCAGATTATAAGTGAAATACATGAAAAAACTCACACAAGAGATAAATCTTATGTGTTACGGGAATACTCTCAGCATACTTGATCATTGTTACATATCTGAAAGAGCTCACTGGGCAGAGATCCTATGTGGATTAACAATGTGAGAAATATGGCAATCCATGTTTCTTGTTAAATCCATAGAAAAAGTGTCACTGTTCAGACAGTTTAGATCTAAATTTACTTTAAAAATCACAGGGAGACCTGAAGAAATAATCAATACAGAAGTTAGATGTCAATATATCTTCACAAATATTCCAGAAATGACAAACCTGAGGTGGAGCTCTCCTTAGGTGCACATGTTGTATGGTTTTCAGTTAATCACTTGTACCTCTCTAGATTTTTTAAAGTGTCTTTGTGTTTCAACATGGCATCTTTAATTAAACATGCTAAATTGAAATGGGCTTTTCACTTTCAAGTATGGATAGTGTCTATGTACTTAATATTTTTCTGTAAAACTTAAATTTTATATTTTTTGGTGAATTGTAATGTTGTTTATTTAAAGAGAAAAAAGAAAACGTGTAGAAATAATACAGAATTTCAGAAAAATAAACCATAAGAAATCACTAGTTGATTAGTTAAATATTGTCATCTTAGAAGTAGTTGTTCAAGTAACAAAATTAAAGCATACAAAGTGATATTCAAATAATGACACTGTCAACAGTTCACCTCAATGATCCAACAAAAAGTTGTTAATATGCTTATCTGTCCTACACACTTTTTGTTCTTAAAAAGGGTAAGATTTTTTTTTTGGTCTTTTTTCATTTTTATCGGTACCAGGGATCAAACTCATGACCGCCTGCTTGCAAGGCAGGTGCTTATGCCACTGAGCTAAACCCCCAGCCCCTAAAGAGGGTAAGATTAAACATGACAAAACAGAACAGAACAGTTCATAAGGAAACAAGTTAAGCAAACAGATTTCAAAGCAAGTCCACTGTAGATGTTCACTGTCTATGTTACTGTCTCTAGTTTTCTTCCAAATAGTTGTTCCCATCTTCACACACATTGAATATATACCAAACATTATAGAACTAATCAAATAGTTACAGAGTGATGCAGGCTTTTTCGGTCTTCAAGACTGATTTTGGGGAAATCGGTAATGACTACCATAATGTCTCTTATTCTCTTCATAGTAGCTGTTATTATCTTTATGTATGCTGAAATTTAACATAAGAGACTAGACTAATATCACTGAACAGTGAATAATAGTATCCTGAGAAGGAGAAAGGTGAGGAATTTCCTAAAAAAAGAAGGCAGAGGACATTGATAAAAGTGTATCAAGATTTAAAATATACAGTAGTCTTGTTGCTCTATTTTGTTTGGTTACATCTTGTTCTGGTCTGTCTACACACATTAGATTTGAGGGCACAGAGAGATAACCCAAAAATAGCAGGTTATACCATGGTAACTATCCTTAATTTTCTATTAACTAAACTGAAACCCTATATTACTTACATTGTGTTCTATGACTGATCTTTGAAGCTGGTTTGTTTGAATGTTATTTGGCCTTGACTGATTTTATTCACCTTTGGTATGCTTGCTAGTATCAAGTTCAAGAGAAGAAGCAACTACTGTAAAGATGACAAGATGTAAAAGATATCCATTGGTGGGCTGGGGATTTAGCTCAGTGGCTTAAGAACCTGCCTGGCAAGTGTGAGGTCATGAGTTTGATCTCCAGTGCCAAATAAATAAATAAATAAATAAAAGATATCCATTCCAGGTTTGATTATTTTTAATTAAAGAGAACAAAGATAGGAAATAAAAAACAAAGCAGTAAAAGGGTACAAGTAATACAGAATTTCAAGAAAAAATTCAATAAGAAATCACTAGTTAATAGGTTACATCTTGTCATCTTAGAAGCAGTTGTCAAATTATAAAATTAAAGAGGGTAAGATTAAACATGACAAAACAAGCAAGTCCACTGTAGATGTTCACTGTCTATGTTACTGTCTCTAGTTTTCTTCCAAATAGTTGTTCCCATCTTCACACACATTGAATATATAAAGTGGACATTCATACAGTGAGATTGCAGAAAGTTCTGTTCAATGATCCAACAAAAGCTCAGTAATACGGTTTTCCATCCTACACACTCAAGCATGCAGTTATGTCCCTTAGACCACCTTCCTTTCCTGTTTTTTACAATAACAATTACACTTTTTGAGTTTTTTTACTCCCACAGTTCTTATTACATTTTTTGAACAGAATAAATCCTAACATGACTAAATAAAACAGAGTCAGTTAGAACAGAAGGGTGGGCATAGGACATGATGCAAAAATAGATTATCAGATGATCTAAAATGGTTACCATTGTTCCTCTTGCTATTTTTAAAAAGAGTTGCCTATAATAGAATGGATCAAAACAGTACAGAACAAGACCTCTTTTTCAGAGTCTCTTTTTCCAGCAAGGAGGACTTGAATCTTCCTGTGCTCAGGCCAAGCAGGGAGTGTGCAGCATGCAGAGGAGCCCAGCACCTCCTGCCTTACACCCTTTTCCACCACCGCATCCATGCTGCAGCCCTGTAGGCCCAATAAGGCAGAGCCATGAGGATGCAGAAAATACTCTGCCACCTCAGCCCCAGGGGCCTCAACTCATGGGTCCTGGCCTCAGCCTCCAACAGGGTCCAGGCTCTGCCATGGATTGGACATTCATAGTGGGCCAGACACAGCATCAGTGCCTTGGGGCAAAGTCCATTTTCCACAGTGACCCTTCCATTTCTGCAAATTTTGACCCTTTTCTTTCTAAATGAGGCAGAGGCATTGGAGACAAAACACACATTGGCATTACTTTTTGGTTTTCTTTCTTTTCTTTCTTTCTTCTTCTTCTTCTCCTCCTCCTCCTCCTCCTCCTCCTTCTTCTTCCTCTTCATATTTGTCTTCTTGGTTTCTTTGATGCTTCAAATACATATTTAGAGGTGTATTTTGCCAAAAAACTTTCCTTGTCTTTTCACACCCCAGTTAACTGAAGTTTTTAAAGATTTCTGCTGCAGTTCACACCCTATGTGTTTGAACACTCAGAATCCATTCTGCAGCTTAGTAGAATGAGGGAAGCAAAGCAGAAAGTGAACTTGGGGATGTGACTGTGCCTTCTAAGACTCCAACTCATATCTTTTTACCTCAAAAATATGTGCATTCTGTAGCAGCTGAGTCTGGCACAGACAAAATGAGTTTCCTGCATGTATATCAGACAATCTCATTTCCTCTCAAGCACATTGTGTATCAGGTTTCTTATGGCCAAACTTGAAGAATTATTTCCAGTACATGAGAGGCTGCCACTGGTCCTGAAATCATGATGGAACTTTTTGTAAACACTTAGCCTGATCTACACCCTGGGGATAGAAGCTAAGAGATGCAGAGATGGCTGGCACAGATAGAAACACCTCAAAATTGTCAACCAACAGCAGCAGCAAGCAGGAACCAAGTTGCTGAGCTTTCACAATTGGGTGATGGAATCATGTGGTGGATTGTGCCCTGGGTTTACTGAGGCAACTCATTACATCTAGGTTGCTGCTTCCATCCCCTTTCCTTCAGTGCAATACAAACAGAAAGTCATGCACGTGCATCATTTATTTGCAATTTTTCTATTTCAGGAACAAAACCTGTATTCATGAGAGTCCACATCTCTGCCATAGCAGACCCACCCACGGGCATTACCACCATGTCTTGTAAAGGATCACTTTATTTATACAAAATGCAGAGCAATGCTCCCAGCCTTGATTTTTCCAGACTGGTGCATTTTCAGTCATTTCTTGAAGGGAAGCTAAACGATTTAGTTTGAGTAAACCAAGTGTGTTGCTGTGCTTCTGTGTGACATCCTTGCTGCCAGACCTGATGAAGGCAATGAGTGGGATCTGCTGGAGGTTTAGCTCCAGAGGGACATACTTAGCACAGCTGTGTCAGGCAGTGCTGCCCCTCACCTGACTGGCCACCCAGGTTTTCAAATGCCCTTTCCCAGTGCTGTTACTGGCTTCGGGAGTCACTGGATTGCAGTGGAGATGCCCAGTGCACTGGTTGGCCCAGGGAAAACCTTGTTTTGGCATGAGTTGGTCATCCTTAGCCCTGCAGATCTGTTGCCCTGGGGCCAGGGCAAGGTTCCCCCAGCTGCAGTGAATGGCATCAGACAACTCTCCTGTGCACACTCTACGCAGAAGCTAGGGAGGGTCCCAGTTCCTTCTTGCTTCAAAGAGTACTGTGAATCAAAGTCTTGAAAATTTGTGCAGCATTCTGTGTGGGAGAAAACTCTATTCTTAGTCCCAGGGAAGGCAGTTTAGAGCTCTGATGTGAGCTCCAAGATAGTGCTGTGCTCTGCCCCGCATGTCCTTCCCATTGTTGTTCAGCACCTGCCTTAAAATATGTCACTGGATGGGGAAACAGCACATTTCAAAGATGTGTGCCTGCATGAATCAGGCTTAGGAGTCTCAGTGTTTTGTGTGCTTGTTGGCCATGTCTGGTAATTTACTTTGAGTTAGAAGAATTTGTCATTTCCCTCACAAAATGGACTCATGAGACCTCTTTAATACTTGTAATAAAAACCATCTATCTGACTAAGGTTGTAAAGAAAGGTTTCCTGTTGTGATTTTTGCATTATTGTTGTTTTTCAAATCCAATGAATCAGCCCTTTGTAGCTCCCTTTGTATCACTGAAATCATGGATAACATTTTCCAACATGAAAAGATGAGTACATACACAATGGTCTCTACATTTTCCCTGCAGATTTTGTCTATCTGTGGTTTTCTCTTCTATCAAACAGCAATAGCATCCAGTCTCCTCCAGGAATCTTTGGCCAAACAGAATCTGATGCACTGATATGAAAAACCCAGGGTAGTAAATCACAGTGAGAGAAAGGTCAGCAGTGGGTGGGGACTAGCAGGAGAGAACAGGGGTATGGATGGGTCCAACACTGAGCAGAAAGCTGAAACTAGACCGATGTGAAGATTGCACCAATTGACAGTGTGCTTACCTGTGCCTCAACTGAACATGTGGAAACTATTGAAATTTAACTTAAAATTAAATTGTCTTAGAATTTAATGCTTCAAAGAACTATAGATTTAAGAGTAGAAATGAAAACTGAGAGAAATAGAAGAGGTAAAGGGAAGGGGAAATGAAGGGCTAGTACTTTGCAAAACTTGAGCCCTAAGTGGAGCAGAGGAAACCTGCTATGGAGCCAGTCACAGACCTGCCTTGGAATTCCACCAGACGAGGTATCTGACCTTGATTTTCAGGTTGATCCTGGAGCTGGTGAGGTCATTGGAGGTGAGGCTTGCACAAGATCTGTAAGTAGACCTTGAGCTCAGTCCATTACCAGCCTTGCCTTAGAAAAATCCCAACTGTCCTTGCTCCTTGCAAGCCCCAAAGCCTCCCATGGCCAGTCAGGGACAGCTTTGTGCACAAATGCACCCCAGGAAAGCTTCCTATTTTGCCTCACCCCACTCACTTCTGCATGCCTCTGTGTTGCAGGAGGTCCCAAGTCTGTCTTTCTCCCTCTCAAGTGCCCCATGTCCTCCTCAGAAACCAACAGACCCAGGCAAATTTCTTCTCACTGTAGTTCTCATTTTCAGTGAGCTAGGCTTGG